AGAGAGAGAGAGAGAGAGAGAGAGAGAGAGAGAGAGAGAGAGAGAGAGAGAGAGAGAGAGAGAGAGGGAATGGAGTGGGTTGAAACTTTTCATTTTTGACGGGTTGTGTTGTCTCTTGACGTCTTGTCGTTTCTTCTTCTGGATTTTTTTTCGGAGGGGGGGCAATGGCTCTGCAGCTCATTAACGGATTTGGGAAGAGAGGAGAAATCCAGCGGATGGAACAGATTTTGGATGAGATGGTGTGCGCCGGGTTGACTCCTGATGTAGTCACATTTGGTGCATTGATCGACTGTTACGGCAAAGCGGGAGACCTGGAGAAGATGGAAGCCGCAGCTTCTCAGCTGCAGTCTGCTGGGTTGCGTCCTGATCTCATGGTTTTCACTTCGATGATGGATGCGTACGGCAAGGCAGGCTTATTGCAAGAAATGATGATGGTCGTGAAGAGAATGGAGCGAGCACAGTGCTGGCCAAATGCGCACACGTGTTCGACGCTCATCAGCTCACTTGCCAGCATGGGCTTGTACGACAGAGCTGAGAAAGCTTACCGTGACTGGTTGAAGAAGGGGGCAGGAGTAGCTGACGTGGCACTCTACAACACCCTCGCTGACCTGTACGCTAAGTCGGAGAATGTGGACAAAATGGAACGCATCTTACGTCAAATGAGAGACAACGGATGCCGACCAAATCTGATTACTTGGAATACGTACGTATATGTTTCTTGGCGCCTTAAACTCCCTGTGGTCCCCATGACTAGTGTTCACAGAGTCCTTTGTAGAGCTAGCAACTGCCGCCCAATTCCTTTGAAGTATGTTTGCTCGAGGCGACTGGATCTCTCACATGAGAAACGATTGGCATGCAAATGCCGCTCAATTCCTTCAAAGTATGTTTGCTCTAGGCGACTGGATCTCTCACATGAGAAATGATTGTTCCCTGCAGATCCCTCTTACCACTGCAATGAGCCCGAGTCGTGAAGCGCGCCTCATCAACAAATTCCATGATCGAACTTAACACGAGACAACTGAGAGAGAAAGAAGATGATGAGAGGAGGAGAAGGAGGAGGAGGAGGAGAAAAAGAAGAGGAGGAGGAGGAGGAGGAGGAGGAGGAGGAGGAGGAGGAAGAAGAAGAAGAAGAAGAAGAAGAAGATGAAGAAGAAGAAGAAGAAGATGAAGAAGAAGAAGATGAAGAAGAAGAAGAAGAAGAAGAAGAATAAGAAGGAGGAGGAGGAGGAGGAGGAGGAGGAGGAGGAGGAAGAAGAAGAGGAGGAGGAGGCAGATGAGGAGGAGGAGGAGGAGGAAGAAGAAGAAGAAGAAGACGAAGACGAAGAAGTGGCAATAGTTTCGACAGGGGTAAATAATTACAAGTTGTGCTAGTCCAGCATGTATGGAACCATAACCATGCAGAACCTTGAAAAAAAAAAAAAAAAGGATGCACTTAGAAGACTCAAGTACAAGGACAGTAGTGAATTGCGACAATTGTGTTCTATTTCTTTATTTTTTGGATTTGACGGAAGTACAAATGGTAAGCTCTTGTGATGCCCGGGACGCTGGACTCGTTTTCCAGCAGGTGCAGCTCCCCACCAATAGATGGAGCGTTTTTATTAAAAAAAAAAAAAAAAAAAAAAGCTCTTGTGATGGCCGGTACAATTGGAACGATACAAAAGAAGATTAGCATAGCATGGCCCCTGCTTAAGGATGGCACACACGAATCAACAAATGGTCCAGATGAAAAAAAAAAAGAAGGAAACAGTAATCTTTTTTTATCATGCCTCCTGTCTTGCCGCCTCATCTTTTTCATCAAGTTTCATGTGATCGTTCCATCTATCTCGCCCGACGGGACCATTTGCCGGTCCACCCTTCAACTCTTGAATACTCAGAAATTGAATTGCTATTTGGAAAAAAAAAAAAAAAGAACATATGACAAGTTGAGCTAGGTTACCAGAGTGCCGCGGGACCACTTGCCCAGCCGGGCCAAGAAAGGGAAAAAAAAAGAAATGGGAAAAAATCCCTTTCSCCCCCCCCCCCCCTTGGGAAAGAATTTCGATGTGACCCTGGGGCAAAAGTTGCTCAGTTGATTTTCCTGCACACCATTGTTTTTTTTTCGTTTTTTTTTATTTTTTATTTTTTATTTTTACAGGGACCTTCTCTGGCCCTCGCCTGGGCGGGCCGCCCGGGCAACCAAGGTAATCCAGGCGGCGCAGTTGGTAAGACAGAATTTGGGTCAACTAAGAGAATTAATCTTTCCGATGGTCATCCCTAGCTTCCTTGGACCGGCGAGAGGCTTCAAAGTCACTCTCTCTCTCCTCTCCTTGTATTTCGGGGAAATTTCGGCCCTTTATTACAACTCTAGCCCGAAGACTCTCGACGTATAGGAATAGCACTTGCGATTTGCTGATGTCGTTCTCTCCCCCAACCCCCCCCATCGCCTCCCAATTGACCCCCCTCTGCTACTGAAATGCGAGCAGCACCAGCCAATCAAGTGGATCTCCATCCATCAGTCTGCCTTCACAGCAACTCGGGGCCAACACTGCCAAGGATGGGATGCATATCTCTTGTTGCAAATGACCAATTGGGGAAGAACCCCCCATCCCCCCCCTCTGACACTGAAATGCGAGCAGCATCAGCCAATCAAGTGGATCTCCATCCATCAGTCTGCCTTCACAGCATCTCGGCGCCAACGCCGCCAAGGATGGGATGCATCTCTCTTGCTGCAAATGACCAATTGGGGCAAGCAAATCAAGCGCCGATTGAAGGAGAGGACAGGCCTGGGATTCCCCTTGCCACCAACTGACTTATCATGCCCTAATAATTGTGCGGTCCTCCCCCTCCTCCCCCAAACACAAAACAATCTCATCCTGTGAATTCATACAAGCTCTCTCTCTTTCTCTCTGGGAGCATACATTCGTGATGGTGGTACGCTGTGTTCGGGGGAAGATGGTAGTGTCATTCACATGCACTGGAGCTGTGGAGTCCGATGGCACTACCATGCATTTGCCCGACTGTCTCCCGCCGAACAAAACACACCCTCAGCATGACTGAATCGGACGGGAAAGATAGCTTGTACACACCTTCATCATGAGGATGCGGTGTGCTTGGTAAAGACAGTAGAATGAGAAACAGTAGAGAGAGAAGACAATCGCCATAGCTGGGCTTTGTCTCGATAGGTAGCGATCTTCTTCCATTGTTGAGAGGCCCTACTCCACAGGCATGAGGGAGGTCCTCTCCCTCCTCCTCTCTCTCCACTGTGGTGTGCTTCGCATGTTTGTGGATGCGCAGCAGCATGATGATGTCTACCCAAAGTGGTAGCCATTGCTCAGTCATAGGGGGGGGGAGGCTTGCCCTTGCCCTGCCTCTCTATAAATATCAAGTAGTCCTGAGGCAGGGCCTACCGGTTGGTGTGTCCTTCTCTGTGTATCCCCCAGCCTGCCCCAATTTAGGCCGGAAGACCTCATTTTGGTGGTAAAGCCCTTCCCTGCTGCTAACTCTGCACTCACCCCTGATGCTGTACTGGGAGGCCTTGGAAGGCCCCTTGCAGATATACCCCAAAGCGTACGAACCTGGCCTACAAAACGGTCTTGGATCACCATTACCTCCCTCCGGAAGGCTGTCCTTTTTCCCAAAGCAGTGGCTTTTCACCTGCTGGAATGCCAGAAACCAGTACAGTACCAGGCCTCATCAGGCTTGGATGTTCCACTGCGATATCCCCCTCTAACAGTTCCCCAAAATTTGTCCCCTCTCCCACTGAAGATTTGAAATTTGCAAATCTGTCCCTTCATAACTTTGTTCGCTGTGTCCTCTCTTGTATCCACTTCTTGTCACCTTGCGAAACTACGCCTTGCAAGTGCAGCATGTCGCAGGTAAGACCTCTCCGAATCTCGGATTATGTCGATGCCGACGCGAGTTAGTAGCACCCACCCCCCCCCCCCCC